CCAGACAATTTAGGGATAGTGAAACTACGTGACATCATGATGGTAGACATGTATATTATTAGCAATATACATTTGTCAAAAGACATAGAACTATATAACACAAAATGAACCCTAATGCACACCATTGAATTTAGCTACAGATTACGTATAAATGTTTGCTCATAAGTTGTATCAAATGTACCACACTAATACCAGGTGTTAATAGTTTGGGAAACCATGGGGAAGGGATTGGATGAAAAGAGTAAATAAAAGCTACTTGTACTTGAATTTACTCTATTTGAGAACAGTTAAATGATAAAGATTGGATATAGTCAAGTCATATTAAATAACCTCACATATATTACAATGATTAATACAGTGAAGTTAGCATAATTTTTTTGTTTGTTTGTTTTTTCGAGACAGGGTTTCTCTGTGTAGCTTTGCGCCTCTTCTGGAACTCACTTGGTAGCCCAGGCTGGCCTCGAACTCACAGAGATCTGCCTGGCTCTGCCTCCCGAGTGCTGGGATTAAAGGCGTGTGCCACCACCGCCCGGTGAAGTTAGCATATTAATACCCATCCATATACCATTAGAATTCAAATTCTTCTTTAGAACTGAGTTCCTGTTTTAACACAAGTACCTCTCCAACACCCCACTCCTGTCTCAAAGCCCTTCTTGGTAATCACATACCTTTCTACTCTGGTTCTGAGTTCTCAATATTTTTAGGTTTCATATGCAAATGAGATTGTACAATATTTGCCTTGGCTTATTTCTCTTAGTGTTATTTTCTATTTGGCTTTTGATATTACTGCTTAAATTTTATGATAAAATAATATTTCATTATATACATACATGCATAAATACTATATATATATACTGAATACACATACACAATGCATACATATAAGCAATGTATATGTGTACACAATGCATGTATATACACAATGAAAATAACAGTATTATAATTTGTGTCAGCTGTCAACTTGACACAATTCAGAATTATCTGGATAGAGTCAATTTCAGGATTGCCTTGATGAGATTAGCTGGCCTGTGGGCATGTCTGTAGGGCATTTTCTTAATTGCTAATTGATACAGGAGTGTGATTGATACAGGAGCCCATTGTGGGCGGTACCACCTTTAGGCAGGAGATCCTGTGCTGTATAAAATAGCTATCTAGCTGAGTAAAAGATCAGAAGGAAGGCAGTAAACAGGGCTTACTCATAGTATCTGTTTGAGGTTTTTGTCCCAGATCCCTGCCTTGAGTTCCCATCTTGATGTTTCTCAACAATTTACTGTAACCTGTAAGATGAAATAAAATCTTTCTTCCAAGTTGCTGTTGGTCTTGGAGTTTATCATAGCAACAGAAAGTAAATGTGAACATGTGCAGTCTATAACTTCTTCTCAATGACCTGTTTCACCTCTTCATTATTGTAAATAATGCTATATTAATTAAACATGGGAGTGTTAACATCTTCAATATACAGACCATATTAAAAATGTGTTGTTCATTTTATTTATTTATTTATTTTGTATGCATCTGTCAGGGTGAAAAGGTGCGTGCCATGGCGTTTTAGAAGTCAGAGTACCTCCTTCCATTATTTGGGTCCTGGGGATATAGCTAGGGTTGTCAGTCTTGTCAGGCACCTTTACCTACTAAGTCCTGACATTGGCCCTGACAACATTTTTAAAATATATACTCCTAAGATGGGTATTACTGATGATAGTTTGCAGAAACTGTGATATTTTCCATATTAACTGTACTGATTTGCATTCCCACCAACAGTGTATTAGTGTATTTGCCACTATTCTCCATACCCTTGAGAATACTTGCTATCTTGCTTTTTCATTATAGGCATTCTAACATGTCTAAGATTCATGGTGGGTTTGATTTACATTTATTTCACAATTAGTGATGTTGAGTATCTTTTCATATAGCAGCTACTCATTTGTATGTTTTTATTGGAAAGATAAGCACTCAAGTTATTTGTCCACTTATAAATTACCTTAGAACTTAACCTAGAAATAAATCCACCTATACATGGTGCCCTAGTGTGCTTTTGGTTCCTCTGCTAAAACACTTACCAAAATCAGCTTGAGGGAGAAAAGGATTTATTTGGCTCACACATTGGGTCACAGTCCATCATTGAGGCAAGTCAGGACAGGAACTCAAGCAGAAACAGGCAGGAACCATGGGATATCACTGCTTACTAGCTTGCTTTCCACGGCTTGTCCAGTCTGCTTTCTTATACACCTCACCCAGGGATGCCACCGTACACAGTAAACTGGGTTCTCCCATATCTATCATTAATCAACAAAATGCCCCACAGACAGGCATGTCCTTAGGCCAATGTCTTAGGCAATTTGTCAGTCTAGTTCCCTCTTTCCAGGTGACTCTAGCTTGTATCAGATTGACAAAAACTCGCTAACATATGTGGTCAAATAATTTTTAACAAAGGTGAAAAGAATAGGCAAATTCTGAAGTCTTTTAAATAAGAGCTATTTTGTAAAAGTGTATATACATGCAAAAGGGTGATACTGAGTCCTTGTCTTACACTATATAAAAAATTATCAAAATAATTTACTTAAATTTTAAAGTCCCACTGGGAAAAACCTCTCAGAAAACACAGGGAAAACTGAACTTAACATTGTGTGTAGTGATGGTCATTTGAATGTGACAAGAAAAGCAGAAGCAACAAAAGTGGAAGTAAACAAATGTAGCTCATCAAACTAAAATGCCTCTGCAGAGCAAATGGAGCAGCTTGTGTTTTACTAACTTCTAGAATTAGGTCTCTTTCTTTTTTCCATTTACTGTTTTACAGTTTGCATTGTATTAGGCTTTTGCCATGTCTGTATGAACTTTTGCTTGACTTAAACTACTAGGTAGGTGATAAGGACCATACCTCTTATATATGGTGCAAATAGTTTCACACATTTTCTTTCCATTAACCAACCTTCATTTGTTTTCAGAAAGTTGAACTTGTAGAATACTATAAAATGTATTATTTCCTTCATCTCTGACCTTCCCCACTGTTGCTTCCTGTCTCCTACTGAGGCAAAAACTTGAATGTAACTGTCTGCCAGCACAGGAGGATAGCTTCCTCAGGAACTGGACTTGTTACCCTGTTCATCTTGTACTCCCAGCCATCAGACTGTGAAAATTAAATTTCTGTTAAGGCTATGTCCCCACCAACACCATACCTGCACCCACTTTGCAAGAGCAGCCAGCACAGACTTTAGGGGATTTGTCTGTCAACTCTGCGGCACAGTATCTGAAGACCTGAGAGTTATACACCATTTCTTTTTTTTTTTTTTTTGAGACAGGGTTTCTCTGTGTAGAACACACCATTTCTACAAGCATAATTATCCCATGACCCAGGATAAATGGAATTGACCTTCCACTGGGGACTTGTTCTTTCACAAACATCCAAAATACTTTCCTCTGAGACTTTCTACTTGATAACACTCATTAGGAACACCTTCATCATTACTCCCTCTTTTCACATTATCTTAAGCATAAGGATCTACATCATCTTACTGATAAAAACAGATTAAGACATTCAAAAATTCTATGAGGTGAAATTGATAAGCACTTGCAAATGAAAACTTAATTTTCTTCAAGGGAGTCTCACTGGAGAACAAAAAAACCACTCTTCATGGAAGACTACATGACCAGCAGTAGATGACCAACAGAAAACATCTTTGGAGGTTCCTTGTCTTATAATGTCATGTCAGGGCTCTTCCTTAAAAAATATACTTTAAATTTATAACATATATATGTGTATATATATATTTCCTCTCTCATTTTACACTCCAGCTCCTCTTTGTATACATTATGACTTTCAGTATCAGTGTTTTTATGGGATTACTGAGTGTGCAAACAAGTGAGTCTCTATTTCTTGTGCTATCTCTTGGGATCTTTTTGTTCTGTTTGTTTTCTCCAATTCTGATGCATTAGTTTTTGTTTTTATCATATTATATTATAATCCAATAGAAGCCTCGTCAGTTTCTTCCCATTGGTTGTTTTATTTTTCTCTCAGACATTACATCTTGACCCAACTGCAGTTTTCCCTCCCTCTACTTTTCCTAGTCCTTCTACAACTCACCACTTTCCCTATACCCCAGATCCACCCCTCCTCTTTCCCTTAAAAAAATAAAAAGAACAGTTCGATTCCCGGTCAGGGAAGCCTTTCTTCTTGCCGGGCGGTGGTGGCACATGCCATTAATCCCAGCACTTGGGAGGCAGAGGCAGGTAGATCTCTGTGAGTTCAAGGCCAGCCTGGTCTACAAAGTGAGTTCCAGGAAAGGTGCAAAACTACAGAGAAACCCTGTCTTGAAAAACAAAAAAAAAAAAAAAAAAGAAAAAAGAAAAAAGAAAAAGAACAGGTTTCCCAGGATTATCAAGCAATCCTTTTCATTTTTCTAATGAGAGAAAAAAAGGGAGTGGATCTGAATGGGAGGAGTTAAGGGAGGGGAAATGTAATCAGGATACGTTGTATAAGAAAGAATCTATTTTCAATAAAAAACAAATTCTATGAGAATCTGGGATTTTCATCTTAGCATTTCAATACTGCTACAAAGGGCACACATGTTCAAGGAGTGTTTAGTGAGCCAGGTGTAGCAGCTCATATCTATAATCTCAATACATGAGATGAGAAGGCAGTAATATCAAAAGTTTAAGCCCAGTCACAGGTACATAGCAAGTTCGAGGCCAGTTTGAACTACATGAGACCCTGTCACAAAAATAAAACTTGGGAACAGGAATGGTCAGTGAATGAGAGTCAATAAATGAAATCTAATTAATAAACATTTAATTTCTTCTACTTTTTTACAACAGCCAAGGAGAAAGTTTTCAAACAGTTAACTTTATCAAATAGAACAAAAGCAATTACAGAAAACAAATCTTACTCATGTTTTAAGTTCTATCTATCCCTTCCCTGCATTACCCTGTTTACTACAGGCTTCTTTCATGCTTTCAAGAAAATCCTTATTATGCTGCTATATTTTCTTTATGGAAATAAAACATCACCATACTTGGGCAGGGGAGAAAACTGTGGCCATATCACCTTGGTAAAAAGCTTTGGTAGGAGTGTCAGGGATGATTTCACGGTTGCCTTGATCCTTCTCTTTATCCTGTTTTAAAGCCTCTTCATAAAGATCTGAGAAGTAACGAGGGGAGATTTTATAGATCTTGTTGACAAACTTGAGGACAGTTATCTTGTTGGTTTCTGCATATGCTTTGGGACCCCACAAGAACACATAGCGTGGAGGATCACTGCCAGCCACCTGCCTGTATTCCAGGTAGTTCAGCTTCACCAAATACTGGGTCATGAGCTTCCGGGGCTCACCAAAGATGCGATGCTTCTTCCCAGGATACACTTCCATAGATCTCAGCATTCTCCAAATATCTTCTTCACGGGCACAGTTGCCATTCATGAAGATCATGCCTAGGACAGTCATCACGAAACCGGTTTTGGGTAAGCCCTGGCCAGGACGAACCCTCCCATTGTTGGGGAGTTTCAGCTTGCTGATAAGATCATATACTCGCCTGCTTGATTCAACTTCCCTCAGTTCAACTGCAAAGATATCTGCAAGTCTCTCAGCAGCTTTCTTGAGGATCTCAGGGAAGGCGTTGATTTCTTCCTTATCAATAACCTGCATCATATCTTCCATTGTAGTAAGCTTCCTTATTTTGTAGTTGTCAAGGAGAATCTGTGACAGCACGGAAACCTTTCTGGCTAGAATATCTTGGTGGAGACTAATGGAATGGTAATTCCCCAAAAGGTTTTCTTCATCATCTAGATCATCAATGGAACTTTCATCTGATATACTGAAAGAAAGGACACCAGTAGTTATGCTGGAAACTGACTGTTTCTCTGGCATCTCAGAGGCACCACATGATTCAGGAGAGGACTCTTCTGTTGCCTCTACTGTTTTCTGTGCACCTTCAGAAACCCGAGCATCATTTCGAGCTCTGCGTCGTCTCCTACGGGCATTTAGTTTACTCTTCTGACCTCGAGGCATGATGACTGATTAAGGACAACAGCAAGGATAATAGCAGGATTTGGGAGATTCAGGTACCTAAATGGAGACAGAAGAAAATAAAATGAGCAGCTTCACCAGGAGGAGGCCTCCTTGTGTTTAATTCTCCCTCAATGGGTTTCTATGAAAATACTGCTCCAGGAACATAGAGGGCTTCTCTTATAATTCTCTCATACTCAGTGGAGTAAGATAAAGTGCATCTTAGGCTGTTGCTTGGGCAGTGACAAAGCTTATCTGCTGTAGGATATCTTTCTGTACAGCGTGAATAAGTGTTGCTCTGATTGGTTGATAAATCAAGCCATTTGGCCTATGGCAAATCAGGTTATAGCTAGGTGGGGAATTGAAGAGGGAGACAGGGAGAATAAAGGAGAGGGGAGAGACACCAGCTGCCACCAGGAGAAGCAAGATGTGAAAATACCCATAAGTCATGGCCACGTGGCAACTTACAAATTAATAGAAATGGGTCAAGTTACAAGAGGTAGCTAGCAAGAAGCCTGCCCTAGGCTATGCAATTTGTAATTAATATTAAGCCTCTAAATGATTATTTTATAAGTGGTTGTGGGACCTAGGGACCAGATGAGACCAGAGAAACCTTCCGGCTATATTTGCCTGCCCAAAGTGTTGGCTCGACTTCCACCTAAAACTTGAGAGATCTTAAAAAAAGATTCTAAAATGGAGCTAAAAACAGCTTCCTAAATGTGTCACTCAGACAAGCCGTGATTTACACTATGGCAGGTTTGGGGCGTACAGGCTTGAGCTAAGTAGCATGGTGGATTCCCACAGCGATACACAGTGGTGTCTCCAAGCTTCACAGCGTGCTGCATGGTGGATTTAGCTTTTGCTAGTACAGACAAAAAACAAGAGGTTTCTGGGCTACACACTGCTGGAAGTAGGCATAGACCCACTGCTTCCCAGAGTTGGCAGTGAGCAGGGCTCCCAGAGTTGGCAGTAAACGTACTACAGCCATGTTGAGAAGCTGAAGCGGGTGGAGTCAACAGTCAGGGCTTCTGCTTTTATCTTAGCCGCACAGTTTAACAGTTTAAAATCTCTCCTGGTCAGAGAAAGATTATAGATTCACAATGAGATCGATTCAGATGGAATAAAACTCTTAACTGTTTACATTATGTGTAAAAATGTACGTGGGCTTGGAAGAGAGAAGAAAAGGAGGATAGACAGTTATATAAAGAAATAGATAGTTTTAAAAAATAAAGTCTTTAAAGAGACAATAAAAATAATATAAAAAAATAAGTCACGTAAAGATGGATATCACACAAAAAGTCTAGATTATATTGTCTTTGGGATTTTTAACTGCAAAAAGACGTTTGATTGTAAAGGCTGCTCAGTTAAATATATATATATTTTTTTATTATATATATTTTATATATATATATATATAAAAGGTATCTTAACTTCAAAATTTATGTCTAAGGATACGTTGCTTTGGAAAAGAGGTTCTGCTTTTGTTTCGACAGAGGATGAGAACCTGTGGATTTCTTCCAGGCTAATATGGTTTGATCAGCCAAGACCCCCTGAAAGGTCTCCAATGACACCATGGCCCAGATGATCCAACATCCAGAATGGCTTCAAGGCAACTGGCTCAGACAATGCAGCTTCACAGACTATTCCAATCAGGACTTGACCACAATTCTTAATTTTCTCAGGATCCCCATAAGATTGCCAGCACCCCTGTCCAGCAGGAAGTAGTATGAGAAGCTATGACCAAATTCCCAAAATATTGTTTATAAATGTTTATTTTTATTTAAAGGGGCTTGATTATAAATACAATCTCTTTCTAAAAAAGAAAAAAGGATAATATAGATATGATAGAATAAAAGGGTACATTATTAAAAACTACTTTTAAACAGCAACTTGTTTAAAGTATTTTACATTGCTATAGATTTTAGTTTATTACAAATTTAAAATTAATTTTGTTATGCTGTATCTATATTTCTACTCTCATTTAAGGTATTATGTTTATGTAACTATTTAAATTGTAATGGATAATTAAGAAATACAGATTAATAATTAGTCTTCTATAATAGTCAAACTTATAGTTGTTAGTTAAGTTTTTATATATATAGATAGATATAGATATAGATATACAGATATAATTCAATTTGGTAGTTAATCTTCAAACACTTCAAAGACCTACAGAACATGGCATTTAAAATATTTCAAAAACTTAAGATTTTCTGGACAGTGAGACATGTCTGCTCCTGGCAGCACTGATTTACTTCAAAGAGAAAGCTGGGCATTGAAGACACTCTATATGGAGTTGATCTTCTTGGCAAAAATAGCCATTTGGGCAAGAAACTGCTCTTGCCTGGACTGCTGATAATATGTTATATAAACTGGATATGCAGGACTCATAGGAAGGTGTGCTGTGGGATGTTCTGTATGGCAAATGTGTTGCTGATTAGTCAATAAATAAAACACTGATTGGCCATTGGCTAGGCAGGAAGTGTAGGCGGGACAAGGAGGAGAATAAAGTTGGGAAGTGGAAGGCTGAGTCAGAGAGACACTGCCAGCCGCCACGATGAGAAACAGCATGTGAAGATGCTGGTAAGCCACGAGTCACGTGGCAAGGTACAGACTTATAGAAATGGATGAATTTAAGCTGTAAGAACAGTTAACAAGAAGCCTGCCATGGCCATACAGTTTGTAAGCAATTTAAGTCTCTGTGTTTACTTGGTCGGGTCTGAGTGGCTGTGGGACTGGCAGGTGAGAGAGATTTGTCCTGACTGTGGGCCAGGCAGAAAAACTCTAGCAACAAGGTTACCACTGTACTTTGCAATGCAAAATGGTCCTTCAGGATCCTGCTTCACAGAGGAGACTGCCAGATACTCTAAAGGACACAGAGAGAAGTGACTGAAAAACTCTAGGCTTATATGCTGAAAATTGATGCCCCAACATTGCAGAGGAACTTTGGATGACTGTCCAGCCAGGCAGCTGTCTCTGTCATTTCCAGAATTTTTGGAAGTTGCTTACAATGAACTTCCTGTTTACTTAGGTAATATTATATCCTTCTGGAGTCTTTGATGTAGTTGAAGAATAAATAGTTATAATTATAATTTTCCTTGGTTATGATAAAATATGTTAGGTATGAATCTTTAGACTCACAAATATAGGATAAATAGAATATTGTCTTTGAATTTGCCAAATATAAATACACTGGATATTATAATTCTAATTCTTGTTTGATAACTGTTCTATTATATGTAATTTTACTATGTTAAAGTTAAAACCTTCCTTTTTGGTTAGACAGGAAAGGGGAAGTGCTGTGGGATGTCTTTCTGTATGCTGTGAATATGTATTGCTCTGATTGATTGATAAATCAAGCCATTTGGCCTATGGCAAGTCAGGTTATAGCTAGGTGGGAAATTGAAGAGGGAGACAGGGAGAAGAAAGGAAAGGGGAGAGATGCCAGCTGCCACCAGGAGAAGCAAGGTGTGAAAATACCAGTAAGCCACGGCCATGTGACAACTAACAGATTAATAGAAATGGTCCAAGTTATAAGAGGTAGCTAGCAAGAAGCCTACCCTAGGCCATGCAATTGGTAATTAATATTAAGCCTCTGAATGATTATTTTATAAGCAGCTGCAGGACCGCAGTTCAGAGAGATTTGTTGGGAAACTTCCAGCTACACTTATCAGGAAAACTTCCAGCTACACTTATCAGCTTATCATCCTTATGAGGAATTTTAAAAATGAAACTAATATATGTGGGACCCTTTCTGCCATGGGTTGCTTAGGGTTGCTTAGGTAAGGATTCATCTCTCATTCAGGGTACTCACACATTCTTCCCCTAGTGCTTGATATACCTTCTTTCTTCCCACTAGTAGCTACGCTCTCACAGTGAAGATCTACACTCTTTTATGTTTAGTACAAAGAGCTGGGATTGGTGATTCAGTTGAAGAAGGAGGATCACAAGTTCAAAATCTGTCTGTGCTACAGATTTAGTCCAACAGCAGCCTGGGCAACTTAAGTGATGATAGTCTATCTCAAAATAAAAATGTAAAAAGAGGACACAGGATAGACCTCAATGGGTAGAGTGCTTCTTAGCATGCAGTACCAGAAAAGAAAGTCAAAAGCAAAACAAAACCACCTTATAACTTCATAGAATTGACAAGCACCCTTTTCCTGAAAAGCTCCATCCTGGACCTTCAAATATTAAATCCAATGATGGTCCTTTCACCCTTTCCCTTGACACATGAACCTTTAATTTTCCTAGAAATACTTTCTTCCTGCTAGTACCTCTTGAACTTCCTAGGAGGAGATGGTTGCCACTTCATTTGCCCATTGTTTACCGATAGGGGATGACTTCTGTGGTATACTAATAAACAAGGTTCTTTAGCTCCTAGAAATATCTATAAATTCTCATATGGTGAACTTCATAACAACATTCAGAAAATCCTTTCACATTATCACAACCATCATCCCACTCATTGGAGGCAATTTTTCACTTGTCCCATCACTACTATACAGAAAAAACAGGCTACCAGCAGGGGAGAGTTGGTTCCCTGGAAACTTCCATAGGGTCTTTACATGAATTTCTGTCCTTATCTGGGATGTTTCTCACACTTTAGTCTCGTATCCCTGAGACTGTTCTTGCCAAAATTAGACCAATAGCCCTCCTTGGTGCCTCTTAGGGTTGATGACGAGAGTGGGGAATGAGCCATTGGAATCTTCTGGGATGGTTGATTCCCTCACCACTCATGTAGCATTCCTTTTCTAATTCTGTGCAAAATGTGATACTCCTTTTGCTGAACTAAGTCCCCTGTCCTTTTCCTCTTAGGTGCTCAGGTTGGTAATATCATCAAAAAAAAAAGGAGCAGAGGACTCATGTACATTCCAGTGCCATGTTTAGGCTTCTGAAAATCAAAACAGGGTCTTGTTTGTTATCTCTGCCTATATTTCTTCCCATTTCCTGTTGTTCTGGTAGGCTTCTTTTTGATCTACTGAATGAAGCTCGACATTTCTATT